TTTTCGTCCCCCCCCCCCCCCCCCCCTTCTGTAATTTCAGAGCCTGCAGAGACCCAGTCTTTTGCTGCTTCGGGATCCCAGCGAGAAATGGGAGTCTGATGGATTGTAAATGCACCTGCTCTGTTTAAAACCCAGCCAAGCAGATAAGTGCCCTTTTAATTATCTCACAACAGCATTTTAGACATAGCTGTGCATAATGTCTCTCTTCAGTTCGGTTTCAATTCGGTGAGCCCTGTGTTTCACCATTGCAAATGAATGCTCTGCGGTTCTCCTTTCGGCTGAGAAATCCCCGATGATATTGGTATTTCACGTGAGCTAATTAATTTACGTCTGAGGGAACTGCAGCTGACGGCTCAGAAAGCTCCTGGGGGTCTTTCCATGCCCCTCTGGACCTGCCGTCTCTGGCAGCCCTGTGAGGTTTTGGGACTCTGAGGAGAAGCTCTGCGGGATCAGATGAGGCTGATGTGACCCATCTGAGCCTTAAAGAGTCCTCCAGGACTCATTAGAGGTTCAATAACTAAACTTGGCTGGTTGGATTGAGAAGATGCTTGTGCAGGCTTGGCACAGTCTCAGAGAAACCAGCTAACGCTGCTGGCAGGAGAGAGGGCTTTCTGCATGTGCTATTCATATGTGTGCGGAGAAAGTGATAACCCCTGCTTCTTCCTGCCAGTTTCTAGGTGGGAAAATAGCTGGGGATGAGGGAGAGAAGCCCTTAGTTTATACAGGGCATCTAAAGAGGTATTGTGGGGGAGTTGTAACAAGAATTGTCCCCTCAAATTTATGGGGACGCTTACATCTATGGATGGAAAATACAGACTATCAAGAAAACTTCTGGCTGCTTAGATTTGCTTCTATAGGTGACTGCTGCCTGCTCTGGAGCACAGCACTGCAATTATTTAAAAATTTAAGAAATCCATAAAATATGGTTTCATGTACAGTGTAACTTTACAATAGTATACAGCCATGAGGCTGGGGCAACTATTCACTACGACTGTGATTTACAGTGTTAGAAAAATGAAAAAAAACCAAACCACTAAAGCCGAGTGTGTGAGCATCCCCATGCGGGGCAGGAGGAGGGACAGGAGCCAAATGACTCCAGACTTGTCTGCTATACCAGGGTTAATTAGCAGTGTAAAATGTCTGCCTTGCTGTTAGGAAAACTAGAAACAGGTTTACTACAGCAAATTAGACTGTAGTAACTGACGTGAATTCATCTGACCTACCTAAGCAGAAGGTGAGTTTCCTGGTAAGGTGCCAGCCTAGCACTGAGAGAGGGACTGGAGAGACAAGACGGTGAAGTAGGAGGTTACTGCGGCACAAGAGAACTAGATCTAGATCAGCTCGTGTGATCCCTGGAGTGTCTGAAGTTCCCTCTTTTCTAGGAAAAAACTTCACTCCTGCTGTTATTACCAAGAAAGTTTTTATATTAATAGAAGAAATGACATGGCTGATTATTAATGACTATGCTCTGCCTTGCAGTTGTAAACAGTGCTTATTCCTGACTCTTCAATACTCTGATAGCAGAAAGGCTTGACAGTATATTAAGAAACACTGATAAAACAAAGCCCTAGTGAGAAAATCAGGGTTTGTTCATTCAGCAAGGATGGATAGGAAGTTAAAAAAGCTTAAATAATCTGTGTACCTCTTTACTCCTCAAAAACAACCCTACATTTTTTTTTTAACCTCAGAGATCCTCAAGGTCTTGATTATTATGTTTGCAACTTGAAATCTGCTTTCTGCCAGCATGCTGATATCAATGTTCCCTTAACTTATGTCCCATTAAATTAACCCTAACCTGGCCAGTTCCAGTCTGGACATCAACGTCACATTTGGAATTCGTATCCTGAAGTGTGGCACACAACTTGTAGCTCCTGTGCCTGCGTAGTTCCTGTAGAACCTGTGCTCCTTGGCAGGAGAGGCAGAAAACACTAGCAGTCCCTCGCAGGAGCGGTACTGATGTGAGAGGTGATGCTGAGCGTGTTATATGTACCTGTGGTTTGGCTGGTGCATCCAACAGCTGCGAACAGATTCAAATGATCTTGACAGGCTTCTACAAAAAAATCATATCTAGAAAAGAAGACCCCCGAATCCCGAACTCTTTCCTCATCTTACAGGTGAGCCTGGAGGACACCTGGGAGACCATAGCTCCTGAACGCATGAGCTTCCCCTGGGATTAGAAGAAGAGCTATGGGGAAAGACAAGAAAGAAGGGGAGGCTGTCTTTCTGAGGAAAAAGATAACTTTGCTGAGGGCTTTCTCGCTCCTCATCGGCAGCATGGTTGGCAGCGGCATCTTTATTTCCCCAAAAGGAGTACTGAAAAACTCTGGCAGTGTGGGTTTCTCCCTGGTTGTCTGGTTTGCCTGTGGGCTCCTCTCAATGTTTGGTGAGTGGTGGTGAGCTTTGTCAGCCTTTGCTTAAGCACCTGGGAGGTGAGGGGAACCAGCACATTTTTATGTATAAAAGGTTGGGGGCAGAATAGACCAAAATTTCCCAGTTCTTATTGCAACAGAAATACAGGTTTAACAAGCCTGGAGGGGGAAGGATCACCAGTGGTCTTTAGTTCAAATTATTCCCCTGTGATGACTAAGCAAATCCCATCACTTATGGTCTGTGAATATGAAATTATGTGTGAGCTCAATGACAACGGCTGCAGATGGGGATAGCACAGTCTCTGCCAGGAGAGCTGAGAGAAAATGAGGGGATTTGACTCCTTAAGGTGGAAGACAGACGTAGGCATCTAAAAGGCACTTGTGAGTACAGGGCTACGCAGTGCTTTTCATGGACACTGTGAAAAGGGCAAGAAGCGCCAGTCTTAACATGCCGTGAGGGATCCCCTTTCTGTCAGTGAGGAGAGAGAAGCACCAGAGCAGATTGCCTGGGGAGCTGCAGAGTATCCACCAGCCAGGGGTGGGTGTCTGGGTGTCTGTCAGAAATGGTTTGGATATGTCTGCTGCTGCCTTGGAGCAAAGAAATGGAGCAGATCAGTTCAGCCCTGCTTGCTGTGCGTTACCCTTGGCTCGGTTTCTGGCAATTAATACCGGTCTTTTCTCACGAAGGGTTGACTTTTTGATGATTAGTTTCATCCTAGTTCTTCTGAAATAACTTAGCTCTTAAAGTTACAATGAATAAAATGAATCCCTTTTAGTTTTCCTGATTAGCTGTATAAAAGCACCATCTCAGAAATGCTCTGAAGGTGCTGTCGGGAGAACTGCAAGATCTCTCAATTCTGTGGAGAAATCGGCTGCTTATTTCAGTGGGTGACTTTAAAGTTCTTCTTCTGTAGTAACTTAGAGAAAAAAAACAAGAAAGGAGAAATACTCCATGTGGAAAAAAAACACCTTGGCACTGTGACATGAGCATGCAAGTTTAGAAATTGGGACATACAATTGTTAATATGGCAACAGTTGTGGTTCTTAGTCTTAGTATATGCGTACCAATATTTCACATTGTTGCATATGCAGTTAAGTGCAGGTCTCCTTTACCATACATGTGGGATGCAGCCTGTGTGTGGTTGGCTGGTGAATGATATAATTTTGCTTAAAGAAAATCTTAAAACATAATGTGACCATGGTATTTCTTTTAACTGAGCAGAGCAATAAATGATAATGTACGTGCCGGTCACATAGCCCAAGCTCGGCACTTGGAGAGGTTTCTCTCTCCGTTGCATCCTTTGATAGCTTCTTCTGGAAGGGCCTTGGGAGCCTCTCACAATCAAGTTATTGTGGTTTGTAGCCAAATTTATTGGTTTGTTCTTCCTTTTTATCAGTTTGATGACCTCCCCTGATCATTTCTCCAACATGTTTTTTTGCAGCACATTACAAAGTCCTGCTTTCTTTTATGCTTTTTTTTTCTTTCAAGTATGGCATTTACACGAGTCCCATAGCATGAATTCAGCAAAGCACTTAAATGCACGCTTGAAGCATGTAAAGAGTCCCACTGGGATAAATGAGAGGAGGTGTCTGCCTATGTTCAAGACTTTGAACAGGGATTCTGCACAAATTTGCCAACAGAGAAGCAGGAAAAATTGAGGTCCTCACCATCGGCATGACCTGAATATGGCACAATTGCCACGGGACCTGGAGGCATCTTGTATCACCACTGGGTTCCTCTGCAGCTGCCTGGGGTGGGCAAAGAAGTAGACAGCACAGCTAGAGATGGTCTTACCCCACAGTGTCACATCCCAACAGCACTCAGCCCCATTGCAAGGAGAGTTGTGCTCAAAGAAGTGAAGGGTTTCATGATATCCTTTGGTGAAGAAAGGATGTTTAACCTAGCAAGCGAATCCAGTCTAGGCAGGGCTTAAGATTTGTACTTAGGCACGTTCAAATGTCATGATGAATTGCTCTAAAAAGAAAACACAGATGGGATTTTCTTGGCACAGGCGGAGACATAAAGGTTTCTATCCGTTTGCCGTCTTTTTAAAGTTTTAAGCTGTCTTCTCCGTCACACCTCTCCCAGGGTTTCTCGTTGTGCCCCGGTGGAGGGGCAGGGAGGCGAGAGGTGCTTGTGCAGGCAGGAGCAGGCAGTCCCCAGGTCTGTTGGTGCACTTGTACGTGAACATGTGAGAACAGACTGACCGAGCCTCTCACGTGGACGTTTCCCTTGCTCTGCACCATCAGGGCCGTGTTTTCCTCCAGTGGCAAGTCCTCCTTCTCGGAGGAGATGCCCTTCCAGGTCCTCTGTCCGGTGTCTTTGAATGAAGGAAGGGATTTGTGTGAAGATGCAAGATAAAGACACAGGAACGTGGGTCTGTGATCAAAACCACGACTGAAACGATCAGTTCAGCCACAGCCTGTCGGCTAAGCTGCTGTAACTGCCTTTTAAGCAGTGTTATGCCAGTCTAACTGTGAGGAAAAGCAAGAGAACCCAAACCTCCAGGACGTTTTCCAAAGAAAACCTCTTGTAGTTTCATGCAACATTTCTTTCAAACACCTTTCCACATAACTTCCATGGAAAAGTTGTACCGTTAACCAGAAAACAGTGAATTTCTTTCATTCTGACAAAAAAGTGAACTTAATTCAAAACACTGTAGCACACAAAAATAGGGAAAAGAAAGGTTCTGCTAAACCCCTTTTTCTTCCTCTAATTCACTACTTATTTTAAACAGATTCATTCAATCCTGGAAAAGTTGTACAGCAAAGAGATGGGATGATTTAATCGGGTCACTTCTACCTGAACTTTTCCAGGTGCCTTGTGTTATGCAGAGCTTGGAACAAGAATCACCAAGTCTGGAGGACATTATATCTACATTTTGGAGACACTAGGGCCTCTGCCAAGTTTCTTATTCCTGTGGGCAGAGTTTTTTGCTATCAGGTAAGAGATTTTGTTTGTTTGTCTTTTGCTCAATGCTGTGATAATTTAAAAAAACAAAAGTTACAGTGCCAGGTAGGCAGTTTTTAAATGAAAGAGTAGAAACAATCTGAACAACTTTTAAAGATTTTCAGTGATAAAAGGAAGAAGGCATAATGAGGAAATAGTTACACATGTTCAATGTGATCTGTACTTGAAGAATATCCCTCTTCTCCCCTGGCAGCTGGTATCCTCCAAGAGCCGTGGTAATTTTTAGAGACCGACAATAGATGTCAGATTTATTTCAGATCTTCTGTTTTCATTGTGAAACTTCTTCAGATTCTCCCGTGGAGACAACTTTCTGGCTTAGCCCTGGGTTAAATAATATTTTAGGATATTGTACATTTCTTCTTTTTTAACTTTAAAAGGAAAGTCCTCCCCCTCCCAATAACCTGTGTCCTTCATGCAAGCTGAGATGAAGCAGGACATATGAACCACACTGCATTGCTCAGTATGATTAATCTCAACTTTTGCTTTCAAGTTGGGAATAAATCTTCTTGCAGCATGTGATTGAAACCCGTTTACTGAGAAAACCTATGAAAAAGACCCTACGGGAAGGCGCCATCAGCATGGGAGAGCAGGATCAAGCTGGGTTGGGAAAATTCCCCCCCTCCCGAGTATTGCGCAGTTTTTCATCATGCCATTTTTTGGCCGTCCGCAGACTACAGTTTGTGCTCGGTTTCCCCCCCCCGCCAGGCCTGCCAACAGTGCTGTGGTTTCTCTGGCGTTTGGACGCTACATGCTGGAGCCGTTCTTCGCCCCCTGTGCAGCGCCTGTCCCTGCTGTGAAGCTTGTGTCTCTCCTGGGGTACTGTAAGTACCAGCTTTCACGGGACTGCCAATCTTGGAGCCTCTCTGCCCCAGACCAGGGGTGCTTGCGGGGTGTTATCTTCTGGGATAACCGTGGGATTGGGACCCCCTCGACCACCCAAAACTTCCTCATCCAAGGTGCTGTTTTGGGGCCACTGTATTCTCCAAGAAGGGGATTGTGCCAAGTACGGGGGAAGAAACTGTTCATGTACAATTGTCCAAATGCCACCTGGTTTGAGGGTGTAAGGGTCAGGTTTTGGACTCCTCGTCTGGTGCACCCAGCTGGTGAAGCTGTCCTGCCTGCTCCGAGCTGGTGTGTGCTGGCACAGGGACTGCTGTGAGGGGGGGTGCTGAGACCTACGTCCCTGAAAACTCACACCTTCCCCCCAGGCAGGTGTGGATCACCCAACAGGAACCAGGCTCCTGGGCGCTCCTAGGAGCGTAGCTCAGCTCCCCCTTTAAATGCTATACACTGGGCCACACCTGTAATGCTTTCTGACGTCTTTCACCCCGAGCATCCCCTCTGTAAAGATGCAGCCTTCTCCACGGTGTCCCTAGAGCAACGAGTGCTGCTGTATTTTTTCCTGTGTGTGTTCAACATGGGCTACAGCTATAGCAGTGTGGTCTCCTCTCCAGACACGGTCCTCACCCTCAATTCCTGGAGCGTCACCTGGAGTGCCCGGCTGCAGACGGCTCTCTCCATTGTCAAACTCCTGGCTCTTGCACTCATCATCGTGCCAGGGATGATGCTGCTGGCCCAGGGTAGGTGTGCTGCTGCGTGACCGAGGGAGGGTGCTCGACATGCCCGCCTGTCCCAGCTTTTATCGGTCCCTAGTGACAAGGGTGGCACTCCTTTGGCTGGCAGGAGCTTTCTCTGCCTGCGTGCTGGACGCGAATTAGCTGGGAGCTGAGGCCGGGGTAGCTGGCACTAAGGTGCATCATTGCGCTGGGCTGATGCACCTGGCTCAGCTGTGCTTTTTCCAAGACTGGGCGAGTCTCAGTGCCTGAGGTTGTGTGAGCCTACCCAGGGTCATACAGGCACCTTCCTCTGCAGATGGTCCTTCTTTGGTGTCAGACTTGCTTGTTTTCAGTATAGCTCAAAATTCTTCCAAAGCAGCACAAATTTGATGGACATCAGGGATATGTGACAGTGTCCAGCGGTGGCCCGAGCAAGTCACAGCTGTGTAATGAGTTACCAGATCTCAGATGAACCCTGGTAACTGCATCTCTAACCTTTCTGTGGCTTAAGCTAATGGTTTTTTACCTCCTAATTGAGATTGGCGGTAACTTAGTAAACTTACGATGGACTTGCGCAGGATTGCATGCTCGCATCCAGAGTGGGGGAAAAACCCCTACCAGTAGTATCTTCTGGGAATGATACAAGAGTATTGACTTTAATCCAAACCTCAGTTTATAGAAAAGCCCAAGGCATTCCCACTCAGGGGATGGAGCCTGCTTCCTCTTCACTCTATTACCTTCCTCTGCGGAGGAAACAACACAGGCAGTAGGCTCCACATTCATGTTTTTTTCTGATGTCTGGAGGTGGCTCCTTTGAACATGCGAAGACCCCCTCAGGCTGGCAGCACTTCTGAGCTGAAGGACTGCCCTGCAGCTAGAAATCCTGAGCCATTATTATTCGGAATGCCTTCAAGTGACAATCTGGAGCCCTGGCACCCGCCCTTCTGTGAGGGGGATAAGTGCTGGTGACATCTGGAGGGAGAATTCACCAAGAGACCCCAATATGACAGGTTGTATTTAATGTGACTCATGGGGGGCTGTAAATAAGTCATTAATGTATTTCAGGCAATAAATCCTTTTTTATGCACCACCACTTATCAGCAATCATTTTAGAACATAAAAAGACTACCCTGATAGGCCCACTCCCATGTTTTTGGTTTAGTTTTCTTCAAATTTCTTTTCTTTTTGACTTGTTTTTTGTGCTTAAAAATCAGTTTTTACTTTGAAATCAGCTTGCCTGATTCCTCTGCTTTGTTCTACTTTTTCGGTTACACTCTTATCCTTTCCTCTGCCATTACCTTCCCTTTGGCTCAGGTTTGGTTTAGAGACTTGCTGGGCCAGTGTTTCAAACCCAGATGTCCAAATCTCATCGCAGAGCTCCTTCCTTGCAGAGACACCTCCATAGAAGTGGCCTGAGTTCCTCCATGTGGTCTGAGACATTTCATCTCTTTCCTGGTGAAGCTCAACGAGGCGAGCTCTACAGCTTTGACTTTTAAAGAGACTTTGATGTGGAGAATATAGATGTGTGTGAATATAGATGTGGAACCAAAATTTTGGGCCACCCAGATTTGAAAATATTTTAAATACAACTCCTTTTGACTGCGTTTTTTTATTGGTCTTTATTTGAATAAGAGGCCATTAAGCGTTTCTCCCTCTCTTCGCTTTTTTTTTTTTTTGAGTTTGATAAAATATGGTTCATATTAAAAATCCTAGGGTTTTTTTGTTATTTCAAGCAGAGAAATTTCAGGAAAATTGGGGGAGTTGGTAAAACGAGATCTTTATCTGAGCCACCTCTACTTTTTTAGATTTTATTTGCTTTGCCCTCTGCGTGCTCAGATCCTCCTCCTGCAGGCGAGTTGCTGTGGCTGGCAGGGCCAGGCTGGCAGGGAGTGTGCCCGGATTGGGTTCCCATGCTCCGGCCAGCGTGGGGCTGGGGTCAGCGCTTTCGGCAGTGGGATCAGGAGGGAGCACAGTGAGAGCCAAATTAGCTGCCTTGCTGGCTGCACCGCATCAAAGAGGAATTGTGCATCCAGCTGCTTAGGGGGCTGGCAGAGGGAAGAGGGGGATCAACCCGGCGAATTAATTTTGGGCCTGAAGAAAAGACAGGACACCTTGGGTCCTCTCATCTCCACGATCTCCTGTTCCCACAGCAGGCTCTGTCTGAAACAGAACCAGCTGCCACCGTTGCCCTTCCTGAAATGTCTCCTGTATCTGGATGGGGGACAGATTTGTTCTGTCACTGTTTGTGAAGTAAACAGGTCAGCACAGCACTATAAATTAAAGCAATGAAACAAATCTGAATGCCTAGCTCCAAGGAAGTCATAAGCATTCTTCCCAGGTCTGGGTAAGAGGTACAAGGTGTTATCCCGTGGTAAGGAAGCCTGTCTCCGATGTTTCTCTGCTCTGTGTCTATTGTTCATATCTTCTGCAGGCCACACTGAAAACTTCCAGGACGCTTTTGACAGAGAGTCACTGGTTTTGGATAAGCTGCCCCTGGCTTTTTACGCAGGCATGTTCGCATATTCAGGCTGGTATGTGTGATGGGAGGGCACGTTGTGGGCAGCAGACTGGTGTCTGAGAGATGGCTCAAACTCTCTCCTTGTCTCTTCCCACTGTGCAGGTTTCAGACCAGCTTTGTGCGTGAGGAGTTGGTCAGACCTGAACGGTAAGGCTGGGAAGACGTCGTCTTGGGTTACCAGCCTCTGTGCTACTGTGGCTTTCCCAAACACAGTATGGGAGGAAATAAGTTTGTGGGTTCACCTAACCAACGCCAGATGCAATCTGCAGTAGTACTGTGCATAACAAGGGATAACAGCTTGTTCTTTATGTGTGTCTCTTTCCATCTCATAGAAATATCCCCCTGGCTGTCATCGTGTCTGTGATCACGGTAATTGTGGGGTACATGCTCACCAACGTCTCCTATTACACCGTCCTGGGAACACAAGATGTTCTGGCTTCTCCTGCTGTGGCTGTGGTGAGTTGTCACCCCTGCTGTTATCTTTCTTCAGTGTGGTCAGCTTATGCTGAAGGGGGTGGTCATGGCAAGTGTTTCAGAGATGGTTTTTCTATAAAATGCTTTATTGTTTTGTCATTTCTCTGGATTATTGGGCAACAGTAACTTCTAATCTTGCCTAAAAGATAATGAAAAATAACCTGCAGATGACAGTAGAAAAGGCAAGATTTATTTTACTCCTTTGATGGAGGAAGTTTTCTTTCTTTTGAATCTGATGTTGTTTAGAGATCACCACATGTTCCTAAAGTCATGCTTGCTCTTCCTCTAGAGCTTTGTGCAGCAAGCATTCAAAAGCCTGATCTCCGTGGTCCCTGTCCTTGTGGCACTGTCCTGCTTTGGAACCATGAATGGAGGAATCTTCACATTTTCAAGGTCACGTCCCTAAGAATTTATTATTCTTTTGGCTTACTGAATCGGAGGGAAGCACCAGAAACCCATGCAACTGCCCACCCACATGATAGCATTTTAGCCACTCTTGCGGGAAAAATAAGATGTTTGACTCCCAGGATGTCAACTACAGGATGATCCCTGTTGGCTAAGAGTCTACCTTTGCTATTTCTGGCCAGGTCTAGACTTTGATATCTAGGGCTGGTCACAAACAAAGTTTTTTATCTTCTCCCCGCACCCTTCAGTTTAAATCCCCAGTTTAAAGTGAAATGTCAATGTTTCTGGTGAACTAGAGGCTTTGTTGACGTTGGCAGCTGCTCAGTGAGACCAAGTCTTCTTTTACTGGGTTCTGGTTCCCCCCAGCCACTCTGCTGCAGGACACAGGGACCCTCTTTGTGAGGATCTCTGGCCAAAGGCAAACTCTCCCTTGAGGTCTTTGCTTTGAGGTCAGTGAAATGTTATCGGGGACAGGCTATTCCTAAAGCAGTAGTTGAGGGTCAACATGTCTTGTTGTAGCAATAAGAAAAGCTTTGTTCCATGGAAAAATTATCTTGCCAGCTTCACTGGCTATTACTCTGCATGTCCTTATGGGAACCTTGAAACTGGAGAGGAGGGCAGAGCTCATGAAGAAGCACGTTGTGCTGGTCCCAAGGAGCTGAACGAACTCTCTGGAGCCGGTTGTGTTTCACAGCTTTGATTGCAAAAGGAAAAATCAGTTGATATGAAAGGGATGTCTGAGAGCTAATGAATTATTTGATCCCGTACTGTGGTGGGTTGACCCTGGCTGAGGG